TGGGCAAGGAGAGTTAGGAGTTGTGGGCTGTAACACCCTCTGGCCTGGAAGTGTTCAACTTGGACCTTTCCTTTTCCAGGTAAGTGATCACACCACCACTGCTCTTTTAACTAGAGGCAGTGGCACTACCTGTTCCTGTATTATTGCCTTAAAAAAAAAATTTCACTGAATTTTGCATTCTGGCTTTTAGATTTAGATACCAATTATTAATTATATGAAATGATGAATTTGAAAAATTTTCAGTTTTATAACATATAAGCCAGTTAAGGATTTATCACAAAATTTCTTGGCAGTGTTCGACATGTTCTGCATCCTTATGAAAATGAAAGGCAGATGCCTGTAAAAGTATGCTGTTTTTTTTAAACAAACATTTGTTACAGTTCAGATAAGCTCAAACTAATTACACATTCTGTAAGTTAAGCCTTTAAAAACACGATTTAAGTCATATTCAAAGTGTCCTGTCTTGTTGGAAGGGACTGAGAGGAAACTTTGTTCTTTTTCTGCTGTAGCTTAAACAAGCAGCAAGTACAAAAATCTGACTCAAGTGTCTGATCTCACTTGTAAAATATGTGATGATCATGTTTTTTGAGAGGAATCAAGTTCAGGAAATTGAAGTAGGCTCAAGCCTCCTTCATTCTGTTAGGCTCTTTCTGATTAAAATTGCTACTGATCTCCTACAAATCCTCTCTGCTGTATTCTGGAATGTGCAGAGGCATCTGCTACAGGGTTGTTTAATCCAGAAAGAGGGGCTGTGATAAAACCTCCTGCTGTCATTGATCTTGTCTGAGTATTGTAAGAAGAGCCTCTTGTCACTGAGGGCAAGGGAGATTGTTTCTCAGAAAGCACAAGAGGAAAGAGCTGTTAAATACTAACACAGGAAAGTAAAAGTGTCTTCAGAAGAAAGGAAGAAATGCGGAGTTGAAACTGTATAATAAAAGGATTAACAAGAGTTCTTGTTATCTTAGTGTCTGATGCCTGTTTCGTTTTAAAGTTTGTTCAGTTTCACTAGTTGGTTGTTGTGGATTTTTCTTCTTCATTTTAAATCACTGTCCCCCATAGTCTAATATAACATAATATGGCAATTCTACCAACTAAAGTTTTCCTGGAGAAATAAACTGTATCAGAGCACATAAAATGTATGTCACTTTTATTATTATTAGCTTTAACATTTTGTTCATGAGCTGGGATAAACTGATGTGTTAACTTAATGATTAACCATTAACATCTATTTCCTTATTTTTCCTCCTGCAGAAACAAACTGTTTCCAGAATCTACAGTTAGGAATATTATGTATCAGATTCTGCAAGGACTTGCATTTATCCACAAGCATGGTAGGCTGCTTTATCTGTGAACATTTTTAATTTGAATAAGGTAATATATGTGTGAGTTTTTAAATGAATGCATTTACAAGGACTTGAGCACCCTTGTTAGAGGTATCAAAAGAATGGTAGGACATTAAAGATTCAGGTTACAGAAAATACCAAGTAGGTCATTGGAGAGTAAGTGTCTCTTTTTTTAGCTGCCTGGTATTTTAGCTAGAAAGCTACCTTACTTCCTACACTGGAGATTTCCACTAGGTGCTGAGCATTTTCTAAAACTTGTCAGATGTTAATGGACACATTTCTTGATGGGCTTATGTGACCCCAGAGATTAGGAATGAAGAACATGTTATTCTCTTCCTTCCCTGTGAGGTACACACAGATATATGTTTAAAATGCACATTCTTTTAAAGATACACTTAAAATAATATGTTTGAGTGACAAACAGCTTTTGTTGCATTCCAGCTAATTAAAGAAAGAAAGCTTTAAAGTGAAGAAAAACTACTACTTCATTTATATTTATTTCTATTTTGTTTAAAAGAATTTCAAAGTAGTTTTTTTTTTAAATTCATTATGCAATTTCCAACACAATTAGAATAAAACTGATATTCAAATAGTGAAGATTTAACTCTTCAAGGTGTCACTTGAAAGAAAGTTTCCTGACCAAATACTCTGAATGTTATAAAATGGAAACTTGTGTGTACTGTTGTTTGGTCTGACAAATGAAGTCTACAGCTGCATGTGATGTTACACATCATTTCATTTGAATTTTAGGGTTCTTTCACAGAGACTTGAAACCTGAAAACCTCCTTTGCATGGGGCCAGAACTTGTGAAAATAGCAGACTTTGGCTTAGCCCGAGAAATCCGCTCTCGACCTCCTTACACTGATTATGTATCCACAAGATGGTAAGTGCAGGTGTTCATAGTATAGCATAGTATGAAATTGCATGTCTTGCAATCAAACCTTAAAAGAAGTGATGTGTTCAATTTGTGATGAACATACTATCACTTTTGACATCTCTTTACGAAACTTTTGTTTAAGCTTAGCTTCTTTGAGAAGCTTAGGTAGTGCAAGACATTGCAATTGACAGCAGCATAGGAACAAAGAGGGGCCTTGACAAGGCAGGTGGGGCAGACTGGAAATGTTGCATGTTTGCTTCCTCATAAGAAAGCTTACAAGAGTTTATATAGTGATTTTTAAATTACTTATTTTTGATTTTTTAAACATGTTACATGTTGGATAGGGGAAGGTAAGAGCATCATAAGGGGTGTTTGTGTATTTGTCCTTAGAAAAGAATGGAGATTTTCGGTGGTTTCATGTGTAAGGGGACTCTGTTTTAATTGTGTTGACTGTTGGATTTGTCTAAGGTTTTGTTTTGTATTTTGTTTTACAGGTATAGGGCTCCTGAAGTCCTTCTGAGATCCACCAGCTATAGTTCTCCAATAGATATCTGGGCTGTAGGTTGTATAATGGCAGAAGTTTACACACTGAGGCCTCTCTTCCCAGGTGCCAGTGAAATTGATACTATATTCAAGATTTGCCAAGTCCTGGGGACTCCAAAGAAGGTAGCTGCAGTGCTCATTCCACACAAATCACAGCAGGGCCATTCTGCACTACAGCATGGCACTCAGATTATCAGTTTTCACTCTTACTGTTACTGTATGACATTGATCTCAGGTCTGATGACTTGAGGTTCGATGTACTGAATCTGATTTTTCAGTGAAATAAGCATTGTATACTTATGCTTTAAAAGCTGAAAGCCAGAGGAGGAGAAATATTTGACCAGTAAAAAAAATCATTAGTGTGTGACTTTGAAAATTACATTTTTTTTTCTTGAATATTAATTTCTGTTTTAAGTGGCTAGAAATCAGAAGCATGACAAGACGCATCTGATATCATTTGTGACTTTGACTTGATTACATGTGAAGCAAGACTGTTACCTTCCACAAGAGATGTGAGGTCCAGTGAAATCTGTAGTCTGGGACAGCTGGAAAAAAATCTGCTACTGATAGGAAAATAATGTAGTGATGTATTTGGGAGCTAGGATACCTCACACGTGAGCTTTGTCATCAAGAATCTCTTTCTTCCAGAATGACTGGCCTGAGGGCTACCAACTTGCATCTTCCATGAGTTTTCGCTGGCCTCAGTGTGTGCCTAACAACCTAAAAACCCTCATACCCAATGCTAGCAGTGAAGCAGTGCAGCTGATGAGAGACATGCTGCAGTGGGACCCCAAAAAGCGGCCAACAGCTAGTCAGGTTTGGAGACTTTCACTCTTTTGTGTGTATGACTGTTCCTTTCATCAGAAGTCACTACTTTATAGGCTGCCCTTTCATGCTTGCTCAGACACCCAGTTCCTCAGCAGAAGGTGCTGATGCGGGAAAGGAGCAGAAGCCAAGAACGCTTTTCAAGATAAGGGGAGTAATTAGAGGTGGATAATCAATCCGTTGACTGCAACAATGTGTTTGAGTTTTGGGTGTGTCCTCAGTGATCAAAGACATAGCTGCAGGGTGTGTAATTCTTAATTTAGTATTAAGAGCCATTGGCAAACAGTATTTAACATCTGTTTTGCAATAAAGTCCAAATATAGAAATGAATCTTGAGCTTTTAGAGACTTTTTGCAATGAAAGCTCTCTTGAAAGGCAAAATGAGTACACCTGCAGCAGCAAGGTAGGCAAAGATTAACTGCATTAGTTACTAGTGAAACGAGACAAAGATATTTTTACCAAATTGTCTTCCAAAAGAAGAGACCAGTTTTCATAAGAAATGCTTACTTGACTTCACCCCATGGCCATGGAAGAGATGAGATCTCTGGAGTCAGTCTCTATTGCTGATGCCACCATGACACATGTGCACGTAGCTTATATACCTGCCACGCTCACCCATCTTGTAGTGAAATGTGTCTTTAGTTGGTGCATGCCTATAGTTAAGTTTTTTCAATTCTGGGAGTATTCTCTTTAAGTCGGGGGGGATCTAATAACTTGGCCTGTGTTGGGAATTTTGTACTACTGCTGTGCACTATGGACTAATTCTGAAGCTGTTTATCCTCAGTAGAATCTGGTGTTCTGTTTCCTATCCTTGAAAAGGGAAAACTACATTGCACTGTTCCTTAAGGCTGGGATAAGATAAAAATTTTGCTTTCCTAAGTTGAATCTTCATGTCCTCATGTTTTAGGCACTGCGATACCCATACTTCCAAGTTGGACATTCCCTAGGCATTCAGGAACTGGGAAAACAGAAGGAACTGCATGATAAATCAGCTCTGCATCATATTAAGCCTGTGCCCCCAGCACAACCTCCTCCCAAACCCCACGCACGTGTCTCGTCAAGGCCATTCCAGCAAAGCCAGCCAGCTCAGCATGGGATGTATCCGTATAAACCAGACCCGTCCGGAGCTGACCACAGCAGCCAGTTACGGGAGGACAAGTCTAACCAGGTGCTACTGCCTGCAATTCACAATAAGGTCCCTCTGCAGGTAAAGGCCCATTTAGCACAAGGTTACTCCAGAAAGTATTGCCTCATCTGTCCCCCAAAAGCATTCCTTTTCCTGTTCTATAATTCCATGTACTTCACAAAATAGGCAGGAAATGGGAATAATGAATAGCTATAAACTGGAAATTATTCTCTTGAGATCTCAGTCTGATTGCTGTAAAGCAAGAACTTCTCATTTCAAAGCCATTTTACTCGTTTTGCTGTAAAGCAGACTTAAAGGGTGACACTGATTTTACATTAGTAGAATGATGCTCAGTGGACAGAATGGTAATGAGATTGATTCCAGGGAGAAAAGTAGTAGGCTAAATAGTTTTGAAATGTGAGTGCTATTCCCTTAGTCCATTAAAACATCTAATTTAAATGCTTAACTAAGAAGACTAGTCTCTTTGGGCTTTTTACAGGCGATGGAGAGCGATAGATTTTTCCTTCAGAATAAGAACTTAATATTTCTGTTGGCTATTCAGGGAGACTGGATTGCTCAGATTAATAAAATACGTAGTGTGAATGCTTCTACTAAGAGACAGATTTCAAGTAGGGTGGATGCTGGATTTATACCAAATTGCAGAAAGTTAAAATGTGCAAATGCTAAAGAGACCGGAATTTATACCTGCAATGTTCCATAGGAAAACAACACAGTTTAAAAATGCCTAGGCTCAGGCTTGTGGAAACATGAACATGCCTGCAGGTTTGTGCTCACAAGATGGGCAAAGGAAAAGAATCGAGTCTGAAGTAATTTTTTGAAAATTGTATAGCAAAAAAAAAAAAATAGAATTGGAAGTGAGATGCAAAAAGCTACTCTCCTGTTGGTTCAGTCTACTTCAGAATAGGATGAAACGCCAAAGGTGCTAGTAAGCAGGATAGAGATCGTGCTCTTCACATGTTAAATCAAAGGTTAAGTTTCTGTCATCTCTATCACACTTATTCTTTGAGATAAAGAAGTCCTTTCTTTACTCCTTATGCCTGTGGTATAAGCATGTGGGTTTGTTTCTTTTTAATCATTATGACAGAAAGTATCTGGTGGGGCTGAAAACATAAACAGTGAACTCCAGCCCAAAGCTAGGCGAAGATGGGGACATCTTGCTAGAACAGTGAAGAGTTCTGAAGCCTGGGATGACTTGGAAGATCTTGATTTCAGCTCTTCCCTCTCCAGAACTGACCTGAAAAACAAGAAGAGGCAGAGTGATGAAACTCTTTGTAGGTAGGTTTGGGTTTTTATGTTAGCATGCTGTTCAGTCTCATTTCCTTAATTTTCACCTCTTTTTTCATAGTCTTGGCTCTTCCTGGTTTCTGCATATCTAGAAATATGTGTCAAGTTTAGTAAAGGACACAGGTTTTCTTCGCCTTGATAGTTTTGTTGCTTTCACCCTTCTAATAGCAATATATTGTTCCATAGACTAAGTGTCTTTCTATACAATTTCATGTCCACTTTCTTCCCTGAAAATTATGCTTTCCAAGCAGAAGGCTTTAATTTCTGAGTGGGTATTTTCTACTTTATGTATGAACCATTTTTAACATATTTCATACATTTAAACTCTTTTGATGAGACTAAGCTGGACTTTCACTGGATCATAATAGATAAAAAGTACAAAGCAAATTATAAAGGGATTAGAGATTCAAATTTGATTTTCAGGAGCACTTAAATGGCTTCAGTGCTGAAAATATTTCCTGTTGTCTGTGTGTTTATGCTATAGCAAACACAATATGAGGAAATGATTCCTGGAGATGGGATGGAGGAGAGAAGGCCGGCTATGGATAAACATGTGCTATAAGTGTTGGACTAAGCATAGCAATTTTTGGGTTATAGATTTGAGAGCATTTTGGACCTGAAGCCTTCGGATGCTGTAGGTTCTGGCAACACTGCAGCCTCGCATGCTGCCTTTCCCAGGCAGGACACTCCCACCCTGCGAGTTTCTGCAGCAAAGCAGCACTACTTGAGACATGCTAGGTACCTACCTGGTTAGTAAAAAATATATATTTTTCTTCTTTTAACTCACATAGCATAAATGGTCATTAATGCATTAAGTTTTATCCTTTGAACTTGTAGAGGAGGATTACTGTGTAAGGAGAATGGTGGAAGCAAAACCCTTCCTGCTGGTGTAAGTAGCCATAATACAAAGTGCACTTTAGCAGACTAGAAACTGAGGTAAATCCTGCTTACAAGTAAAAGATAGGATTGTTGGCATTTCTTCTTCCTACCTGATTCTTACCTGCTACAGAGTTTGAGTGTGTTAGAAAAGACCATTAATGAGCCACGTTACTCCCTGCTTCCTGGAAAAGGATGCAAATGCCCTGGGTTTACCCCAGGAATATGGAACACTATGAACAGCAAATGCGCCGTTATAGCCAGTGGGAAGACTTTGCTGTGGCTTGGAGCTGAACAGAATAAAACTCTGTGTAGAGGCATTGCGTGCCTGTCCTGCTGTTGAGCTCTACGCTGCTGTCACCAGCACTGGGGCTGTCACCAGGAGCTAGTATGGCAGTGGGGAGCATTGCTCCCTCCATTGAAGTTGAGCTGGCTACAAACATTCCCTCTTTCCTAATTCTTGTTTGTAAAGTCCGTGTTGGCCCTTCCGTAGCCTGCTGTTAACATAAAGCTCTTGTGAGCAGGGAAGCTCCTGACATTAGGGTCCTTGCAGGAGCAAGGCCTGGGCACGCAGGCATGTGTATGCCAGAATGGGGCGGTCATGTAGAGGCTGTGGATTTTTTTAATTAAGTTCACCCTGGTGAATAGCTGCTTTAAGATGATGCCTCAGATTGAACATGTGCAATCCTTGTATAACAGCTGATTTCAGATGAAAAACTCTTTCATTTTTTTTTCCAATAGGAATAAGCACAAGGAATAGCATAGTTTCCACTTCAAGCAAAGAGTCTGTTCCATCTAATCTCTGGCCTAGTTCTTGTTTGCCTGGGAAAGCGTCAGCTTTGGGAGGAAGTATCAACAGGATGAATTCAGGTAAGAAGCTGTGCTAAACCCTGAGAAGCTAATTATTTATAATTCTAGGGGCTGTATTTTGGATCACTCATTTCTAACATCCTCATTTTCAAACATATTTGCTACTGTGCCTGTTCTGTCTATCAAAATCAGTAAAGAGCAACGTTCTTTGGACTTGTATATTAGCTTAAACTGATAGTCATTTCCTCTAATGACTTCCAAAGTTTGAGGTACCATGTGCCTAGAAGGATGGACAGGTTAAGTCTGTTCAACTTGAAATGCTTCTGCTAGCCCTTGATTTCCTTTGTCAGTTTTTGTAAGTCGTATTTTCAAGTTTTCAAATTCTTTATAACCTAGCTGCTGCTTAAATTACTGTCACGAAAGGGAAAGGTGGTCTGGATTGAAAAAGAACCAAACTAGCTGTGCATGTGCGTGACTCCTGCCATTCAAAAAATAGAATCTATCATCAGATGGCTTTAAGTTCTTTACTGTTTAAAAGAGTGGAATAGCTGTAGCTTTATTCAAAGAGCAAACAAAAGTTTTTCTTTATTTTTTTCCCTTTTTATTTGCATTTGGTATTTCAGGTATTCAATCCCTATTTGAAATAAATAGGTTCTAGCTGTGGTAAGAGCTTTGTCCAGAGCCCCAGACCCATTCATCTTAGACACCAAGAATGACCGAGTGACTACAATCACAGAACAAAAGTCAGACCAAAAAATTCCAGCTAAATGCCAAATCTTGAAAGTTCTAAGAAACCTTGGGGGGAGGAAAAATGGTGCTAGCGTATTTCAAAGGCTAGGATGTTGGAGAGAAATAGAAATTACCCCCTAGAAGTGTAGTTTATACCTGTTTTCCATTAGCCTTTATGGTGGTCTGAGGTGCCAGGCTCTTACGCACAGGCGTAAGGGATGAGCAGATTTCTAGTGACCCCAGTGGAGTTCTACCTGTGTCTACAGTGTGGCGTGGCCACAGGATAAGCCAGCAGTGCACACACTTGTCAGCTTTTGTTAGTGGAGCTCGAACAAACTTTGATATCCAGCATAAGAGATCCGCTGTGCTGACCTCCTTCCTTGTCGCTTCTGTCAGGGCCCATAGGATCAAATGGTCTCACTGGTGGCTACATCCCTTCGTTTCTGAAGAAGGAAGTAGGCTCTGCTGGGCAGAGGGTTCAGTTGGCACCAATTGTGGATCCATCTTCTAGTGAGTATCGTGCTAAAGTCTTATATGTATGTATATATATTTATATATATATACACACACACACACACACAGAGACACATCCCCACTTTGTTTTACATTCTCTGTAAGTACCTGAGTGACTGGGACTGCTCATCATGACCTTTCCGAGTGCTGTGGAGAAGGAGTAGGCTTAGTTTTACTTTGATAAATAAATTCTTTAAGTTTATGCACAGCTCTTACCTGATAAGTAATTGAATGGGACCTAGCGGCTGTTGTGAGTGTGGCACTGAAATCACAGCAGTTGCAGAAGTATATACAGAAATTTGTCTGTTGTCACTTAGTCTGAGAGGGTTTAAAGGTTGTATCCCCTGTTTCACATTGGCAAATTCTGTTCAAAAAAGCTTCTTCCCTGAAGAAATGACGTTGTAGTCCTGCATCCAGTTATTTTTTTTAATGTGGATGGATCCTCTCTGAACCTTTTGTATCCTGATTTTTTTTGTAGATTATGCTTCTTTGAAGTCAGTAGGACCCCATCTTGGACGACCATCGTTTAATTCGCCTTCGAGAAGCACGCCAAAGTTAATGCCCCTTCCTCCACCCGCCCAGCCCATCCATGGCCGTATTGACTGGTCTGCAAAGTACGGTGCTCACCGGTGACGCATGGGAACGCACTCGGAACCGGTGCATGATTCCTGGGAGATGGTGGCCAACAGAAACAAATTGATGCCACTTTGCAATGCTGTAAATTTAAAAGAAACAGATGCTCTACGAGTGAGACACTTGGAAGTTTTTTACTTTGATTTGTATTAATTTGAATAGTCCTGTATCTTTTTGTATACAATTATTATATAATTGGGTCCAATTATTTTCATAAATCTGATACATTTTGTATATATGGTTTAGGAGGGATGCCATTTTTATATGATAAACTTTTATAATGGACTTTTTTAAATTTTAACTTTTTTCCTTTATTCAAGTTTTTTATGGCAGTAGGAAGCAGAGTGATGCAATATTACAGAGAAAGAGGAAGGGGCTTCGTGAGGCACTTCTGAAGACCATGTGCTCAGTGTGGCATCACTGAGGTTATTACTGTCTCATCCTGCTGCTGTCGTCATCCCCTCATTTCCCTCATATTGCTACCCAAGGAGTGACTGCAAGTGCTTTCCTTTGCAGTCCATGGGAGGTTGATGAAAGTCCCAGGTCAACAGGAGACTTTTTGGGGTATTTATTTTTGCCTTTACAAGGCTTTTGTTGGGCTGCAGTCTGGCTTTCCAGCCCCTTGCTTGGTTCCCATTGAGGGTTAATGGGAATTTGGCCTGGAAGAGCAGCAGAAACAAACTGGACTGTTTTGATGGGCAGCGTTCAGCCTGTGTTTTGCTTTTGCCAAGAAGCAAAATCTGGGGGAATCTTCTCTTTGGTGACGGGTATTCAGTAGGTCTGTTTTGACGTAGTGTTTTTATTTGTCCTGCTTCAGAGTTACTTCTTGGCGTAGTTCACCATGAAATAGAATGTGGATCTACTTTGAAATTTATTTTAACCTTTCCTAATGATTTCTAAAGGAGAAAAACAGCTTCTGTTTTTTTTTGGTTTTTCCTCCGGTAGGGAATGTAGGATCTGAAGACCTATTTAAAGACAGTATTGACTGACAAAGCTGATTTCACAAAGCGTTAGTGATAACCAGCGGCAGAGTTTAAGAAAACAGTATCTGTGCAGTTGATGAAATTTTCACATTCCCCCCCCCCCATTTCCAGCCCCTGCTGCTGCAAATGTAAGCAGAAGTTTTTTCACTTTGATACTTCACTTGCAATAGATGAATGAGCTATTTTCCAAAAATAAGGCCCTCTTTTTCTACTGGGAAAAGATGGCACCTTAGCCCCTGGTCTTGTTAAAAACCATTCTGAAATTGAATTTAATTGGTTTTACTGAAACTGATACAGTTCTTTGAAGGGGGAAGAAAATAACTGGGTTGAAAGGAGTGAAGGAGTTAGTAGGTCTCAGTCACAAGGAGATGGTCCCACAGCTGGCGAGGGGAGTTCAGCCATGGGCAAGAGGTTGGTTTAAGTCCCAGCCTGACAGCTTTCCCTGGAGCAGGTGTGAGGGCGGCAGAGGTGGCGCAGTGCTGGGAGGAGGCAGGGGAGGCTGCTTGTGTGGTGAGATGGGCATCTCCTCAGCGTGGGAGAAAAGGTCTGTGTGGCAGAGGAGTGCCTGTATTGGACTGGTGTGTACCAAGGGGGTGTTGTGTTGTGTCCACCTTCCCCAGTTAGCTGTTCATAGCAAATATTAACTGTAAGCTCTATGTAACTGCCTCCAAAGCAGTGATGCTGCTGCATAGCTATAAACTCTGGCAGCAAAGCCGATGTCTAAAGCGCCCACTAATGAAGATATCTGGGCAAGCAGAAAGGGAAATTTGTATACTTGTGTTAGGGCTAGATTGTTTTTCTCCTGGTCGAAGTAAATATCTGTATATATGTCTTTATATATATCTTTGAATTTATTTCCTCACTGGAGAATTGGTCTGAAGGGAGAAACCCCTGACACTGTCGTTACCTACTTAGATCAGTCTGGTTTATGCACTTAACTCCTGCTAATGGAAGTGGGAGGCAAGTCGTAGGACTGTATTGTTGGGACTGGGATCCATCCTGCAGGGACAAGCCTGTTTGTTGTGAGCTGTCTGCCTGGGCAAGCCTGAGGGAGCTTAATAGAGAGAACTCAGCAGGTGTCTGTGTAGTTCTGCTAAATTTGTCTTTTTCTCTTATTTCTGCTGAATATGTGGAATAGTTCCCATCATAAAAGGGATGGAGGGTGAATCTGGACCTGACCTGAACTTCCTGGACCTTAATCACCCCTAGTGATTTCCTTGCATAGAGCATTGAGCTTTGGGGTTAGTTCAGCAATAAGCTTTTTTTTTTTTTTTTTTTAAATAGTAGTAAAATCATATGTTATCTTTTTTTCCCCAAATTAAAACCTTTATTTTTGGGGGAAAAAAAAAGCTAATAACCCTGACATTTGAAATTGTCTATTCTGGTTTTAACTTCAGTTTGGTGGGAAGGAAAAACTATGGCGTAGGAAGTGTGATGACAACACTGTCCTCTTTCTGCTCAAGCACATTCCTAATGAAATTGGAGAAAGTTCTGTTTGAACAGGGACTACCTTGACTGCATATTTTAATGTCCTTTCTCAGTGTGCAATATAGGTGGAAAAGTCTTTCTATTGTACTGAAATCTGGAAAAGGCAGATGAGAATTTATTGTATGTAATGCACTACTTTGTCTTGAAATTCAGCAGTATCTTTATGCAAACTGTTTTTTTTAGAAATCTGTTTACATTTTCTCAGGCTTGTGCATAGCATTTAATAGTGACTTGGAAATGAAGGAGCCTGATAGGGGACTTGTGTACCTCTATAAGCCAGCTTTTCTTAAGTCTTGTGTAAGTGCCATGATATTAGCCAAAAAACCCAAACATTTCCATGGTATTTCTATATCCAGTAAGGGTGTTGATTTGAAAAGGATGATCTGTAAAACAGATCAAATATTTTAGAGAACATCTCTGAGCTTATGTGGAAAGAGAGTGAAATTGTCACGGTGAAAAAGATGTTAAAGAAACAACAGTTCTTGTTTATTCAGTGTTTTGTTCAAAAATGTTATAAATGTTTGTTTCAGTACTTCTGTGTCAAGTCTCCTGCCCAAAATAAAGTTACTGTTGAAGAAATCCTGAGTATAGTGTTGAACTTTCATTTCTGTTTTATAAACAGCACTGTAGGTTGGCTCTTAAACACATGTACACACACTTGGTGTTTTCTCAGGTATGTAGTAGTTCTTGGTATACCCTGAAACTCGGAGAAACAATGAATGAAAGATGTGTAACACCTTGGAAGAAGGCCATAACTGTCCATAATGTCTTGCAAGTGTCACTTCTCAACCTTCTCCCCTGCTTTGAAGACAGTAGGAGCTGAAGTCTACTGGAAACCAGCACATCCAGTTACTATCTGATTAAGCAGCCTTGAAATCAATTCTTCAAGGGAAGAACTGGCTTTGAAAGAGCCTTTGAAGTTGGAATTTGAAAGAACTCCATTGAGAGGAGTACTTTCTGAAAAAAAAAAAGTATAGTAAAAAATGAAAGTAGTCTAGATTATAGCTGTTTTGTCTTTCTAGGAGAAGACTCAAGAATTCAGAGGGGAGGAGCGATAGGGTGACCAGTGACTAGAAGAAGGTTAAAGATGATTAGTCATGATCTTATCAAAAAAACCCCCCCCCCCCCCCCCAAAAAAAAAAGTAAAAGTAGTGAAATACTAGTTACTACTAAACTAATACTGAAGCAAAGCTATCATCTTAGCCGGCACGTTGGAGGAAAAGAATGGCAGACTGCCACGTGCAGCGCCTCACTTGGATGTGTCTGCAGTCTTGGAAGCTTGACTACCCTACGTTCTCCTACAAATGGACCTTGAGCTTGTTTGGAGGTTCTAGCAGGGGAGCGCAGCTACCGTATACCCTTGACCGATGAACGGTACGTCTCTATCGGGGAAGGTCGTCCTCTTCGACCGAGCGCGCAGCTTCGGGAGGGACGCACATGGAGCGGTGAGGGAGGAAGGGGACACCCGCCTAGCCAGCCAGATCAGACGAATCAACCCTGGCGATCAATGGGGTGACAGATGTCGCAGCCAGATCGCCCTCACATCCAGAACTGGTTTGGGCCGTGGTGTTATATAAAGGTCTAAACGATGTTTACCCCTCCGGTTAGGGTGACCTTTTCTATGCGCAGAAACTGAACGGTGTTTAGGATGAGATCTCTTTTTCTGCCCAACAAGCACAACCTTTCGAAAAGACGTCAAAAATACGAAAAACACTGCCAAATTTTCAGTTATTTTTCCTCCCAAGAAGCCTCTGCGGAACATGCAAAATTGAGGCTTCCCATTGGCCGTTGCCCGCTCGTCACTGCCTGTGGGGTAAGGGAAGGGCTGCGGCGCGGTGACTCGAACCGGCGCTGGAGGTAGGTGGGTGTGCGCGCTCGGCTCGGCCCGGCCCGGCCCGGCCCGGCCCGGCCCTGCGC